CTATTGGTTTCCAAAGTAATTTTTTTAAAAAAAGACTTTTTAAAATTTATTTTTAGAGAGAGAAAGAGAGGGAGAAAGAGAGGGAGGAAATCATCAATGTGTGGTTGCCTCTCACATGCCCCCTACTGGGGACCTGGCCCACAACCCGGGCATGTGCTCTACATTGGGAATTGAACTGGTGACCCTTTGGTTTACAGGCTGGCACTCAAGCCACTGAGCCACACCAGCTAGGGCCAAAGTAAAATGTTTTTAAGGGCCTCATCTCTTCAGTGAAGGTCCCAAGGTTTGTAGTATCCAACATGGGGCTCAAACCTCTCACTCTTCAGGGAGAAGCTCTTCAGTGTTGAAATCCTTCCCTGTGTGGAATTACTGCACCAGGGGTGAGATTTATTTATTTATTTAAAAATATATTTTATTGATTATGCTATTACAGTTGTCCCAATTTTTCCCCCTTTGCCCCTCTCTACCCAGTACCCTCATTCCCTCCAGCACTTCCCCTCCTTTGTTCATGTGCATGGGTCATGCATATAAGTTTTTTGGCTTCTCCATTTCCATATTGTTCTTATTATTCCCCTGTCTATTTTGTACCTACCAATTTATGCTTCTTAATCCCTGTACCTTTCCTCCTTTCTCCCCTTTCTCCCTCCTCACTAATAACCCTCCAAATGATCTCCTTTTCTATGATACTGTTCCTGTTCTGCTTATTTGTTTAGTTTGTTTTTTAGATCCAATTGTTGATAGTTGTGAACTCATTGCCATTTTAATGTTAATAGTTTTGATCTTCTACTTTTCTTATATAATTTTCTTTAACATAATAATAGCTTGGCAATGATGAACTCCTTTTGCTTTACCTTGTCTGGGAAGCACTTTATCTGCCCTTTCATTCTAAATGATAGCTTTACTGGACAGAGTAATCTAGGTTGTAGGTCCTTCCTTTTCATCACTTTAAATACTTCTTGCCAGTCCCTTCTAGTCTGCAATGTTTCTTTTGAGAAATCATCTGACAGTCTTACAGGAACTCCTTTTTAGGTAACTAATTGCTTTTCTCTTGCTGCTTTTAAGATTCTCTCTGTATCTTTAACCATTGGCATTTTAATTATATTGTATCTTGGTGTGGTTCTCTTTGGGTCTAGCATGTTTGGGGTTCTCTGTGCTTCCTGGATTTGCATATCTATTTCCTTCATTTAACTAGGGAAGTTTTTTTCATTATTTTTTCAAATAAGTTTTCAATTTCTTGCTCTTCCTCTTCTCCTTCTGGCACCCCTATGATTTAGATGTTGGTACATTTGGAGATATCTGAGAGGCTCCTTAGTCTATCCTTGTTTTTTTTTTTAATTCTTGTTTCTTCTTGCTGCTCTGATGGAATGCTTTTTTGTTCTTTATATTATAAATCATTGATTTGATTCTCAGCATTATCCCCTCCACTATTGGCTCCTGTAGATTTTTATTTATTTCACTTATTTTTACCTTCAATTGTGCCTGGGTCTTTTTTATGCTCTTGCAGTGTCCTGATAACCAATGTTTTGAACTCTGCATCTGATAGATTGCTTATTTCCATTTAGTTTAGTTCTTTTTCTGGAATTTTGTTCTGTTTTTTTCATTTGGGCCTTATTTCTTTGTCTCTTCAATTTGGAAGCCTCCCTGTGTTTGTTTCTGTGTGTTAGGTAGAGTTTTAGGTAGAACATTAAAAACAATATGGAGCTTTGACTCCTTGTCTTAGTAATATGGCCTATTGTAGAAAACACACCTGTAAACTGTGTGAGGTGGAACCTTAGGTAATTGCCAGGGTGGGGCAACCTGTATTACTGCTCTGGGCTCTGTGCAGGGGAGGGCTCAGAGAGGGGACAATGCCACTGCCTAGCCTCTGGAGATTTGCTTGGCAGGAAGCTGTCTCCTGGCACTTGCTCTGCTGCATTACTTCACTTTTCCCCTGTAAGCCACTGCTACCCTTCCAGCTGTTGTCCTAGTGCTGGATCCCAGAGTGGGTGGGTCTGGGTAAGTCCTGAGACAATTGCAGGCCCTTTAAGAGGAGACTGCTAAGAACCCTGCAGTTTCCTCAGCTGCCCCAACCCTCACTGGTTTTTACAGCCAGAAGTTATGTGGATTTATCTGAAACCCTAGGCTGAGTGGTCTGGTCTGTGCTTAGATCCCTTGTTCTCATGGTATCCCACCCAATTTTAATCCACCACACATGAATGGGAACCACCTGTTCTGTGTCTCCATGCCTCTCTGCACTTCTCCATGTCTCTTCCCCTCCTACCCACCTGGATGAATGTGGCTTCTTTAGATTCTTGGTTGTGGAACTTCCATACAGCTTGATTTTATAACAAATCTGAGTGATATTCATTTTGTAGTCTAGTTTTGATTTTTGTTGTCATTGTGCAAGGAGGCAAAGTGTGTTTACTTATGCCTCCATTTTGACCAGAAATCAGGGGTGGGGTTTTTGTTGAGACTCTGCTTCTGCCCCTCCTACCTATCTTGATGTGGCCCTTTTATCCCTTGTGGAAAAAAAACTTTCTCAGCTAATTTTCAGTTCTTTCTCACAGAAATTGTTCCATATATAGCTATATTTTTGGTCTGGTCAGAATCTCCCATCTTGAACCCCAGAAAAATTTTTCTAGCTTTAGCATTCTGTACTGTAGGGGTCCTTCTTTAGAGTCTTCTGGGATGTATTAAATAATATGGCTTCTCAGTGTAGACCTTTCTCTGGTTCTTTCTTTTATCTGCCTCCTGTATTTCTCTCCTCACTCCAAACCTAAATTAGGGATGCCTTCCTCCACAGATCTCTGAGAGCTCCTGCTTGGAATCAGAAGATGCTACTGAGTACCCACTTAAGGGCCCCCTTCACATGGTAGTCTCAGCATGAGCTCCCCAACTTGGGAAGGGCCACAGCTTTGTCACTGGTCCCAGTGCTGACAATCCCATTTGCTTCTAGGATTTGTATTTCCTTATAGTTCACTGTTTTTTTTTTTTTACTTTATTTTCTTCTTTTACTCCTGTTTTCTTTTTTTGGTTGTTAAAAAGTTTTTTGACTTTTGTTTCTGAGCCAATTTTCACATTAAAGTTGTATTTGTTTAATTTCTACCAAGTTCTCATTTTATTTTACCAACAGGGCTTTTCAGAGTATATAATCTTCCATTGGCAGAAACAAAGTTGTCTTGTTTGTGCATTTAAAAAAATACATGAGCCCTGGCTGGTGTGGCTCAGTGGATTGAACACTGGACTGCGAAGCAAAGGCTCACTGGTTCAGTTCTTAGTCAGGGCACATGCCTAAGTTATGGGCCAGGTTTCCAGTAGGGGCCTGAGAGAGGACACCACACATTGATGTTTCTCTCCCTCTCTCTCTTCTCTGCCTCCCCTCTCTCTAAAAATAAATAAATAAAATCTTAAAAAAAGAATTCCACTAAAAATGGTCACTTAATTTTCCTTGAGATTATGTATAATGATTTCTACTAAATATTCTCATCAGTTTGGTAAATTCTTTTTAAAATATATGAGTATATACTAGATAACTTTTCCTTGTAATGTTTATTTATTTTCTTTTAAAATCATACTTAGGTATAGGTTCCATATCAGTTTCTTTTTTATTCTGTCATATTTGAAGAACTAGATATTTAAGAATATTGTGAGGAAGGACTTGGCAACAACCACCTTAGCAGTGAGACTGCCTCTAACCCACTTTCTCTTTAAAGAACACATTCTTGTGTTCACATTGATGAGAATAGGCCTCAGGTCAGTGTTTGGTGTTCCCCTTTTAAGAAGAACAAGTTGCTAGAACAGCTCACAGTAAATGAGGTTTTCTATTCACAGCTTCTCTTTGTGGTAATTTAGGAGCACAAGAAATAGAACTCTGATCAATGTCACCCCAATGTATTTAATAAAAAAAAATTGCTGAATCAATACATAAGTGAATGAACTTAATGGACATATCGATTGCATGTGTCATAGCTATATCAAATTACCTATGACTAGCAGTGAGGAATTGTTTTCCCATACATCTGTTCTCCACATCTGCTCTACCATCCATTTTTTATCTTTTGTCTGAACTCCATTCTTTTTTTTCTGCTTTTTAAAAAAAGATTTTATTTATTTATTTTTAGATAGGGAAGGGAGGGAGAAAGAGAGAGAGAGAGAGGGAGAGAAACATCAATGTGCAGTTGCTGGGGGCCATGGCCTGCAACCTAGGCATATGCTCTGACTTGGAATCGAACCTGCAACACTTTGGTTTGCAGCCCACGCTCAATCCACTGAGCTATGCCAGCCAGGGCTTGAACGCCATTCTTACTGTGTAAATGATCCTGCTATTTTCCATCACCTAGAGATAAACTTCTAACTTTTCAGACTGACACACAATAGGAACTTCTATGATATTTTGCTCAACCTAGCAAAATAGAAACTAAGACAAAAAACCAAAATTATTAAGATCCTTGCTATGCCCCTGCTTTATGTTTAGGAAAAAGCACTGACAGAGTTTCCATCTCTGGTATTGAGCAATTTAGACAAAGAAATGCTTATTGATTTTAGCATACAGAAGCAGATCTATTTTTGAAATGAGAGAAAAGTGTAGTGGTTCTTCTTTGTATTGTAATACCACGTCCTGGCTGAGATCAAAAGGCTAGAGTTACACGATCAGCTATAGAACAACAACAACAAAAAAGCCTTAAAGTTTTGCATGGATATTATATGAAAATAATTGAGAATTATGATGATAATTATGATTTTAGAGATATAATTTACACAAACAGAAAGAATTCAAATACTGTCGTATTAAAGTAATAACTGGAGCTTAGTGTGAAACTTTTTTTTGGTATGTGCAAAACTTAGCATAACCCTGAATAAGAAGTTATAGAAACAATGATCCCAAAATGAATTCAGTGTGGAAGTCAATAAATACTAATAACCCATAGAAAACAGTTACTAAAAACATAGAACATATACATAGTGAAAACAACAAATATGATTTAATACATGTTGAACAAAATTAACCCAACCTAATTTACCTGGGAATGTCATTGTGATAAAATTTTTAAAATCATCTAGTTTATGCTTGTGTCTATCAGTGTTGACCTTAATATTCAGGATGTATATATCACCAAACTTGTTCTTGAGGTGCTGAGGACTGCCAAGGCACACGAACTTTCCCTTCGCCATGATGGCCAGTCTGGTACAGAAGGCGTCACATTCCTCCATTCTAGCAAAACAAAATACCAGAACAATGTAAAATTGAAAATTTCTCTGTTGGAGGACCTCCTTCTATAGTTCTGGATTTTGTGATTCTATTTTCAAAGGGAGGTGGAATTTGCCAATCATAAATCTCATGTGGGAGGATGAAAAATTTTCAATGATAAGTAGAATATGAAACCCTCACATAAAACTTTTGAACTCCTTGTCTTCTCCACACTTTCGGTTACTTAATAAATTCTTGGTTGTTCCACTGATTATGATTAATGAGGAAGTTACATTCTCAAGTAAGTTTATTGTACAATATTTCTAGCCCCAAATAATTTTCTCTTAACTACTATGATGCTTGCCAACCCTGTTCCAAGCCTCCCAAGGAGTCACACCTGTGGGAAGTTACGATAATGGCTTTGCCACTTTCACGTGCTTGTGTCACAGCATCCCAGAGCAGGCGCCGGGCTACTGGGTCCATGCCTGTTGATGGCTCATCCAGCAAAATGACTGCAGGTTTTCCCATCAGGGCAATAGCAGTACTCAGCTTACGTTTGCTTCCTCCACTTCATAGAAGGAGAGAGAATGCAGGGAAAGGGAAGGATATACAAATCAGTTACTTACGGGATAGTGTTAGCACAAATGCCTCAAATGTTGAGTCTCAGCAAGCACTTAACATGGATATCTGCAATGCTGATTAGATGAGACTTCAATAAGGTACCAGTTTCAAGTACAGGTGTATATATCAATTATTTTATTATTTTTTTATTTGAAATACAGAAGTGACTTTTATGTAACTGATTTCAGCAGCATTATCAGTGACACTTATTTATTAGTTCTTAGGGTGTTATGATTTTCCAAGTACATAAATGCCACCATAATTTATATAGTATAAATTCCTTTTTTTCATGGAAAACAAAAAACCACATGGACACCAGGAAAAATAAAATGCTCCCCTTTGAGATTCAGAGGCAATAGTTCAAACATAAGTAAGATTTTGTGTTTCATCTTTACTAGGGAAAGGCACAGAACCCCACTGATCTGTCTTGTTATTACATTTTTTTAACCTAGTGACTCATTACATAGTTTCACAATTAAGTGATTGTGTGGAGGAGGGAATTAAGTGGTGCTGTCGGCATTTTTTTTCAAACAGAAACATAGGGAAGCATCACAGTAGCAGCAACAAAAAGATCAGCATAATGACTCACCTGTAGGTTCTGATAATCCTGTCAGCATGGGGCTCCAGTTGCAGCGAATTCAACCATTTGCTCACATATGGCTGAATCTGGGGCTCAGAGATTCCCCATAATCTGGCATACATGGTTATTATTTCGCGACCAGTCATGTATTCCAGCAAGGCATCAGTTTGAGGACAATACCCAACTTTTGACTTCACCTAATTAAAAGAATTGCCTTAATAAGGACTCAAGTCATCTGTTCCACTGAGCATTTTTAAATGAGAAAGAAGACTTTCATTTCTCCAGGTCATGCCTCTAAGAGTCCTACCAAGAATTTTCTTTACTAAATACTATAAAATTATAGCCAGTGGATCTGTTGTAATAAATTGAACTAACAGGTTTCCCAATTCAGTTTTAATAATCTTGGGGATAAGAGGTTAGCAATAAAATTACACAGTCCACTGAATTTGGTAGAGTATTAGAATATAAGATTCTCCCATTATTAATGATAAATGATGAGGGGTATGGACACCACGGATGTTTTTGCCCTGTGGAAGTTGCACAGCCATGTGTAGATCTTATTTCATAGTAAGGTTGAACCAGAAGCAAAGGTTTTCTCACTCCCACAAATAGGAGAATTCAATGAATGTTGCTTTATCTATTAACTAAGTCTTTTGTGGATTTGTCTTCAGATGCACATAGACTAGATATCCAGAGAAAACATATAAATATTAGTTTATTATAATCAATTAAAAATTTAAAATAAAATTATTTTAAATAACTGAAATTCATACCTTTTCTCTGGGATTTTATTAATTAATTCACAGTGATCCTAGACTATTTATAATCCTAGATTCTTGGCAGAAATACGCTAAACTCTTTCTTTATTCTAGGTATGAAATTATTCTCTCATATAATTTTTGAAAGTAAATGAGCCACATGCATAGGGAACAAGGTAACAAGGGAAAAATAACATGAATGCCATTAGCAGAAACAATACTTACTAGAAACACTAGTAATAACTTCAGGTATTGGGATTAATAAACCAGATAGAAATGATAGTACTTATTATATTTAAATAAATTTTAAAAGCTTAAAATTATCTTAATAGGAAAGTATAAAGTCATGTAGACCTTTTAGAAATGAACCATATGTCTAAACATATGGAAACTAAAAAATGAGTCATATTACAATTTCTGTGAAAGGATTTGACAGCAATTTAGTCACAATAGAAGAAATTAACCTGCTGAATAGAGGTCATAAGAAAGTTCCTAGAATGCAACATAAGAATAAAAAGTGGGGAACTATAAAAGCAATATTGGGAAATAAGGATGATAAACTAGAAACATCATATATGGATTATTAGAACTGCAGATGGACAGAAAGGTGGGAACAGGAGAAATATCTAAAAAACTAACTAGTGAAAATATCCAGAACCAATTCAAGATATTAACTGGTAAATTCAAAAATGTCAATAAATCTCAAGAGAATGAAAATATAGAGATCCATGTCTAAGTGGTTCATATTAAAACTTATGTAAAACAAAAGAATCCTTAGAAAGCAGCCATAGAGAAAAAAGATCTGTAAAGAATGTCAAACTAACAGCTGATTTCTCAAAAGCAGTGATGGAAGCTACATGATAGCGAAACAACATATTAATTTGCTAATTAAAAATAATTGCAAACCTCAAACTCTATACATAGTGAAAATATCTTTTGCCAGTGAGGGTGAATTAAGGGCATTTACAGAACGGAAGGAAAAATGAATAATAAAAGATTTTCCCCTGAGATTGAGATGGAGAAAATGTCTGCAATTGCAATTGTTATTCAATACTGAGTAGAGGTTCTAGCCTTTCAATAAACAAGAGAAAAACATAGGATTAAAAGGAAAACAAACCCTTTCTGTATCCAGTCATGACTATGTAAGTAAAGATTCTAACATAATTTAAATATAAATATTGGAATTAAGAGAATTTAGCAATTTTGTTGAATACAAGTTCAACATTTATTTATTTTAAATATTTTTTACCTTTTCACTTTAATTCTTTCCTTTCAAATTGTTTCTACCCTAGTGCACAAATGATTTTATTGTTTGATTTTTAAAAATTACTAACATTTCACAAAACAGGACTTTCAAGTTCTCTTGAAAGTCCTTTGAAAACATATGGCATCTTTAATTGTATTTATTTTTTGAGTGGACAAATGTACTTTTTGATTTCCAGCTTCCAGTTTCTTTTTGGACCCAGCTGTCCCTGCCATTTTCATGAGTACATTTCCATTAGTGGGCTGTACGTTCACAAACACATCCTTCACCCTGCCCCCAACAAGCAGACACATTGGCTTTTTATCTTTAAATGGGTACTCTACACTCCAGGTTTTCTGTGTTCAGATATCACCAAAGATTATAAACAAACTGTGAGGCTACCATGAAGGAAGTGAGTGAGGGAGGAAGAACAAAGGCTGTAAACCCATTTATTTACACAGGCGGCAGTCCTCAAAGCACAGGTGTATTAAGACCAGACCTGAAGAACAATAGTTCTGCTGCCAGGAACAAGGTGCTTATGGTACACAGTGCTTCACTGTAGGTTTGTTTCCTTTAGAAGGTCATATCCACCACCTGAAACTTGGTAAGACCTTTCCATGATAGATGCAAGCCAGGGTCACACATTCAAATCTGCCCAAGCTTGCTTTTTGCTGAATTTGAGTCCCTAATTCAAGTGAATCTCTTAGAAAGATCCTCATTGGCCTTCTTCATGGTAGCAGGATCAGAGCAACACCTTCGGGGCCCCTTAACTTAAATGCCTGCACCCAGAGAGCAAGGCAGGACAACTGAAAGATTACACTCAGTCCTCACCTCAGAAGTCACAGCTGCTGACGGGCAGCTGACAGGAAATCATTTCCTTGATTAAAAAACCAACAAAAACAAGATTCTGTATTTGTGTTCTAAAGGAGAAAATGTAGTACATGCTATGAGAAAAGCTGTCATTGGATTGTGTGAAAAACTCATGAATTTGCCCTGGCTGGTGTGATTCAGTGGATTGAGTGCTGGCCTGTGAACCATAGGGTTGCTGGTTCGATTCCAGGTCAGGGCACATGCCTGGGTTGCAGGCCAGGTCCCTTGGTGAGGGGCACATAAGAGGCAACCACACATTGATGTTTCTTCCCCTCTCTTTCTCCCTGCTTTCTCCTCTATCTAAAAATAAATAAATAAAATCTTTAAAAAAAAAGCCTCATGTATTTGCTGTGCTACTGCTTGTCCTTAGATGGAAGCATTACTTAGTTCCTGGATACTTGGGAACTTCTGAAGCAGAAGGGAAGTTTTAACTTTTCCAACTCTTGGGATCTGTTGCATAGTTCAAAGTAGGGACAGCTCAGAGATTAGAGTCTATTTCTTCATGAGAAAAGGATTCTTACTGGGCTCTTTGGTTTGCTCTTGATCTAACTGGATAACAAGGCAGGAGTCTTATATCTGGTTGGCCATTGGAAGCAACACCATCCCAAGGTTCAGCACAGTAAACTTCAATATGGCTGGGGAGTACTGTTCACTCATCTGTGCTTTTTTTGACTACTAGTCCTTGAAGATTACTAGAATTTCTAATGTGAACAAGTCTGTTTTGCTAGCTATTTCCTGCCACCACATTGTCTTCCTTGACATAAAGAATGCAGGATCTGATAAACAAATAAAAATCTACTGGTGTGAGGCCATTCTCAAAAACAAGTTAAGTTTCCCTTAAAATGCAGACAAGAAAAGTTTTGTGAGCTTTGGATGAAATGGCAGCAATTGGTATAAGTGGGGTGAGGAGAGAGAGGATTTATGCAGAGGGCAGCCCACCGACCTTGCATGCCCTGTGCCAGCTGAGACTCATGCCATTTCTCATTGGCAACAATATGCACAAAAGGTACGTGCACAGAGCATATGATGTCCTTGGGCTTCCTTTCCATGGTGGCCTTGATCTAGAGAGGAAAATGCAAGATGGCATTTAAGCAGGCTGTCCTGCACATGACCCCATATTCCACTTGAAGCTGGGGCCTCTTGGCAGAAGCCAGTTTTCAGTACTCTCTAAAAAGACTGAATTATTTGCCAAAGTCTTAGAACCAGGAGATTCCTGTCCTGGTAGCCCTGTCCCTCTTTTTTATCACCTGCCTGGCCCCTGTTACCCCAGCTCTAAATGTTCGATATTTAAAAAATCAATTGTATAGGCCATCAATAAATAATAAAAATAAAATCATTTAGGTGAGTATTAAAACATAAAATATATTGAAATAAATTATATATACTAAGCTGAATTCTCATTAATGTAACATAATGTACAACTATTAAACTATTATTCCAAGACACTGAGAAACAAATACATGGAAAGATATATTTACTATAATATGTCAATCTTATAGAATCCCACTCAAAATCTCACCATTTATAGGCAAAGATAAGATAATGTCTCAATGTACCTATAATTTTAAAAGTTCAAGAATAACAGAATAAAATTCAGAGGGATTCCAAGATGGCTCCAGAGTAGCTAGAAACTTCCTTCATTTACTCTCAGCTCCAGACCTGACTTGCAGCTAAATTGCAGAGAAATTAACTTGAAAAATAAGTTAAAGTGTAGCTGATCTGAAATTTAATAAACAGGAGCATGGAGGAAGACAGGAGGAGACAAGGAGAGGGTGAGGCCTCTTGTGAAGGTGCACAGCTGGGAAGATGGAGGGATTTTGCAAGCAGCAATATTTCCTAACCCTAGGAGTATGGGGTCTCAGCCCCATTCAGGGATTCTTAATACAGAACAACAGAAATGAAAAGGGTAGCCCATACAGCAGGGGGTGGTGGGAATCAGTGGAGATTCAGCCCAGCTGGGAGACTAAGATCACACCATCGCAGAGAAGAAGTGATCCCATGGTTATACCACCAGACTAGGAAGTTTGCTCTGGTCTGTGACTGCTAAAGGGCCTATGCCACAGTACCAATTCAAAGGAGGGGGTCTTCTCGGTACTCCCAGCAGTGACTTGGAGAGCTCCTCTATTCTCTGGAAGGACTTTGGGTAGACTCGATCATAGTCTAGACGATGTGGCTTGAGAAAGAGCATCGGTCTTGCCCACATGAAATGCAGAGGCAGCTGAACTTGTTCTGCCACCCTGGCTGTCTTCCAAGACAAAGGGGTAGGCACTGGGCCACAAATCTGGTCCCACCCTGCTTGGTTAAATGGCATGGGGGAGTGGGACAT